ATTCACAGACTGTTTAAAAGACTGTTACAGTCCCACTTTAAAGGGCATCAGAACAATGCAATTACCAAGTGATACGGCCAGCAATAGGTAGAGATCTATATTTACAAACCCTCTAAACAGTTCTTACACAAGTAATGGCTCTCCAGAGTAAAGTGATAAGTAAACATGTTTTCTGGAATATGTCTACACGCACAATTTTTCTAGCAAGGGAATAATTCCTCCGCAACTTTCAGACAGGAGCAAATATGTGCTGGCTAATGACATAGGTTGAGTCCAAGACTATTAGGAAACACCACTAATTAGAAAAGTATTGTATTCACTCTCTGCCATTCCTGGATGACCTCTAATACCAATTCTAGGAACTGACAAGCAGAGGCTTGAAATTGAAGAAAATTACAAAAATGACAGAAAGGTCTTCAGAATTCTTTTGGTCATCATTAAAGCTAGGGATGCACAGATACTTTTCGAGTACCAGTGCAGATACTTGGCATTTTCATGAGAACTACCAGGGTTGCAGCGGGAACCTGGCTCTGGCACTCAACCACTGTCCTGAAATCATTAGTCTGTATTGTTTTAGAAAAACTGTCACATGACAATAAACAAAAATGTATCAGTACTCATACTTGTAAGTACTCGGCAAGTACCAGTACTCGTACTCGCAAAACTGGTATCTGTGCATCACTTTATTTATATTTATTGTACTGAAAAAGTGTGGAGGTGGCCATTGCCAACCTCTCCTTTTGAAAATACTAGCTGCTTGGCTGTCTACAGCCTAGGTACTTTATGAGTCACTGACCCAGAACAAGTAGAGAGATCCAGAGTTCTGTCATTTTCGACTGCAGTGACGACAAACATCTAAGGACCTAGTTGGAGAATTTCTTGTTTCTTATCTAGAGAAAAAACTTTCTAACTGTTAATCTGGTTTTAGCTGGGGAAAATGGTCCTTATGGAGCATGCACTAGGAAACGTTTAATCTGGAATTAGAACTTTTGTGGCGACAATCGTTTGTTTCAGCAATTATGCATGGGATAGAAGTCCATGAAAAATAACAATGCAAACAAAAAGTTCCTGTATGCAAAACTGTACTGTATATACTGTGTGTGTATCTATCTAAAATATATATATATATA